TATAGAAGTGGACGTTTTCCATACTACACGAGCCTTATGCTTCAGTTCGCTTGTACCTTTGTTTCTTTCGTTCAATAGATCAATCACCTTCAAAAGAAGTATTCTATAATCTTGTAGTCTGATGCTCTCCATGTAATGCAGTCCAAGATTCAAAATCAACACACTGTTTTCGCTCATATCGGGTCTTTCCAACACAACCCTGAGACTATCGAGAATAATGGACTTATCGAAGTCTTGATCATCCCATTTTGGAAACTGACCGCTGTAAGGGTAAACCCACATTTTACTTAGATTACAAGATTTAAAGATCTCCGTACAAAGAGGTCCATCCTTTATCGATAAGTGCAGTCTTTCGGCCTGTGAGTCTCCATAAATCCACAACTTTTCCAGCTTGGGAGCCGTGATACCCAATTTCATCGGCTTAGTGTGCCCAGGTACTTCTGTAAAGAATTAAAGTGGTTAGAGCTCCGCTAAAGCTCTGTACATCACGAAAAATAATAACGTTCACCGTCAGGAGCAGTATGCAAGACGAGAATCACATATCAACCAACTGTCAAGTGATGGCTCGTCACGAGTTCTGTATGGCTCAGCGGTAGATCAACTGAACGGTATGTGCGGGAGGTCCTTCGACTTTAATGCGTCTGCGCAGGGACTCGTTTTGAATGAATTCACTGAAGAGCGTAGAAACAGACTATTTTACACAAGCTTTGAATTTTGACGTAATTACCGTTACAGTTTTCAGACTTTTAGTTCTTACTTACGTCTACCATTTGAACGACGACTGAAATCTGTTGGTTTATAATAAATTCCCTCGAGGGAGTTACGCTAGTTCTGCTTAGTTGCCGTAAACCACAATCCCGAAACATACCTGTAAGATATGGCTTCCAATTTTTTCCAAGCCAACGGCCGAATCCATCCCACGTAAATTTACAATCCATGCCACAAGACAAGTTAAACTTGGCAGAGAGGCAGGGGCGGTCTGGTAACTGGTTCATTAGAAATGCTCCTACAGGCAGAAGGAATAAACCGGAAAGGACCGGAACATTGCAACAAACGGCAAATAGGTTCACTTGGACTGTATTTGAAACGGTGCACTTGATAGCTTTTCCTAAAGAGTCATGACGATCAAAGTAATGCGGGAAAGCGTGTCCTTGCTAAACAGAAGCTCAAACGCAATCAGCGACTGGTCTTAACTTATCATCAGGGAGAAGGGGACGTGGAACATTTTGGTAAAGCGACAACAAAATTTACCTATTCTCCCCTAAAGCTCTGTTGCTTTCTAATGATCTTACTTTTTGGACAGTCCATTTTCTATAGTTCCATCCCTCTTTATATTCTACTCGCGACAACTGATCCCCTTCTGTTCCCCCTGAAAACTATAGAGAAAACCATGAGATCCCCCAAATTCCTCCAAAACCCCCGCCCACCTACTTTCCGCCCCCAGGGTATAAATAATGAATAATGAGTAGTTCCTTGAGAGTACGCTGTTGAACGCATTGCGACTTCGTGTTTACGATCGGTGCTCGTCACAAATTAATTGCTTTGTGTATATACAGCTTATTTTTCAGTTTGCACAGCAAAAGAAAAACCGTCAGAAACGTTGATCCAGTCAGAAATTCACAAGTTCCCTTACCTCTATCGTCTGGCAGCGGAATGTTAATCATAATAAGCTTCCCATTCTGGAATGATTGAAGAAGGTAGTCGTCCTTCGCACGGTTTGCACCGAGTGTCCCATCTTTTTGCATCTTACCTTGGGAATTTCCTTGTAAAAAAAGTAAAATAAGAAAAAGGGACAAACGGGTCGATGCGAAAAGATGAAATAGTAGATCTCATCAATGCGACCGCTGGCCATGAAAGATGGATCGTTTTGACGAGGTTGTAGTATTCATGAGGTGAGGTGCTTCACATACAGTTGGTGATTTAACAGGTCAAAACTAAAAGGATCTGTGCTGGGTAATTTAAAATTGTGGCAAAAATTTTCTCCAAGATTGGGAAATACTTGTTAGATTTATTTTTTTCACTCTTTTTATTACTTATTTTAGCTTCATAACACGAACAAAAGATCCGCTTCCTTGAGGACATTCCCTGATGCGGCAAAATGGTTGCGTAAGTCTAAGTCTGGTTGCCTAAAGCTGAGACTTAAGCGACTGGGATCTTTACTACGACTTTCCTAATACGCCAGAAGAGATATGAAACCTTGTGCAAGACAAGAAGGAATGAAAGAAACTTGCTGCCGACTGCGGTGTACTTGTATGATGATGGTTTTAGAGAAACAACTCAAATTTATGAACATCTATGATTATCAAGCAAGGAGAATCAACGATAAAAAAATCACGTTTCAGAATCTTGATGCTATATATCTTCAAGTTTTAAGTGTTCAGAATTAAGTTTCAGAAAAAGTAGACAGAAGATGAGATGAATGATTTCGTAATCTGCGCAAACATTTTGGCTCGAATTGAATTCGAATGTATAATGTAATATATTAAATTACCGTTTTAATAATCTGTGATGACGTCAAATGAGTGAGACTTGCACAAATTGAAGCACTGTCCTCTTAAAATGTATTCTTAAGTCAGATTTCCAATTGGATTAATCAAAAGAACAGCCTTCCATGTTCATTTACCTTTGATTCTGTTGTTGAAATACTAATCAAACCCAAGAAAAGCTACAGGACCATTATATGTACAATTTTTAAGCAAAGAACTCTTATCCAGAGTTTAGTAACTTGCCCAGCATCAATTCACATCACAAACAAGACTCCCCAAGGAACTTTTTTTGATTATATTTCAGACATCTTACCTACGATGAACCAATTTTTTGGCGGATCGCGGAATCCGTCACACAGGCTATAGTCCAGAGTGATATCCAACTTATAGGCCCCAGGGTCCATAACAAGAAACAAAAACTCGTAGGTGCCATTTCCGTGATCAAACGTAGTAGGTGACACAGTGGCCGGACCGCGCAGTAACACACGCCAAGAGTCGCCGCCAATGTGCTTCAGTTTACCATTCCGAGTTTTTGTTTGAATGCTGAAACGACTGAACTGACCTGCTGGTCTAATGTCAAAGAACGAAATCGCACTTTTGCCGGCATCCGTTTGGAGCGCGCGTTCAGGAGAAGGTCCATTCCATGAAATATTGTAAAAACATGGTTTAAGAATTGAGTCCAAGTCGACCCGTGCTCGGCGAATTCGACACCAGTATTCTTTGAATTGTTCGACATTTTGGGAAATTCTGTTTGATTCCTCAAGAGAATACAAGTTTCTTTCATCACTGAAATAATTGTAGTGAAGAAGATGAACAGCTACTGTTGAAAGCCAACATTTGACAAATGTTTTCCACCGGTGGACGTAAACCTGGCTCATTTGGAGCATGTAAGTTCCATCGAATGGTTGTAAAAAATTTTCTGCTTTTTAACCTTATGCAAATTATCCACCAGGACACGTTGAAACTACAACAGCTATAACCATAGTAACCGAATACATTTGCTTGGAATGTTGATGTACTTGTGCCTCTCTTTGTTATTCGCCGAGGATTTTTTTTTTTTTTTTTTTTTACTGTAACCTCATTAAACACTATATACGGCTAGAAAAACTCTGAAACTTAGAATCGTGTTGGTTTTTGTAAAAGCTTTAAATTTCACCTCTGTTTTGCTTCATATTCATGATACGAGAGAAGTCCAAAATCACAATCGACAGTCAATTTACAAAGTAAGATGTCATTAATAAAGCATCACCAAATTTACTTGACATAACTATCAATCTTAGTTTAGCTAAAACTAAGGCCAGACACTTTGCGCACTTCAGTTGAGGCGAATCAAATGCACAACTATTGTTCTTTGATGTTTTCGTTAGATTCATTCATAAGCCGAGGGCATGCTGCTAGAATTACATGTAATTGGAATTTGAATCAATTCCGTCGACCCAATTTAATTTAGATCGGCAAAAACTCGAATTTTATTCACGTTGAACACGACACGGCTTGTGCATATTGTTATAATAACATATAATGCTCACGTCACTGGAAAGTGGTATTCTGTGGGCACTGTATTAAAAAAATAAAAGTCATCATAAATAGATAACAAGTTAAAAACACAAAAACTGTGAAATACACGAAATATGTTAATAAAAGTTGCTTATTATTCAGTCGATAAAAAAACTAACTGTCTTTGCTTAAAAACGAGGAAAGAGTCGATTTCTTTAAAAGAAGTACCTAAAACATTCCATTCTTTTGCACATATGTATAAAAGTCTTTGTTTTCCATTGTTTCTTTTAACATGAGGAAGGCGGAAATCGTTCTTTCTTCTCGTATTATAACTATGGATGTCAGAATTTCTTTAAATGTTAAAGCAATAATCCACAAGCCCGTGAATGTACTTAGAGGTGGCAATGTATCTATGTACAAGGCGCTGTTGGAGTAATGTTGGCCAGCCAAGAGTTTTTGGAGCATCAGTGGATGAAGCGTTGCTCGGCAAATCGAGGATAACTTTTGCGGCTTTATTTTGCAGTATTTGCAAATCTACCATAATAATAGTATTATCCTTGTCTCCTCAAATGATATCGGCATAGTCAAAAACTGGACTATCAAAGAATTGTACGACGTGATTCGCGCTTCTGATGGTAATAGATGCTTGACACGTCTCAATAAGCGTGGGCACGGTCACGTTTTGGCCAAAGTTATTTCTGCGAATCACTTGGCCATTAACATAAGTTTTTTTATTGGCTCTGTTTTCTTCATTAAATTTGATAGATTTTGAATTAGGATAAGTGTTAGGTTGAACAAGCTGACACTTAACATAAGCTTTTTTATTGGCTCTGTTTTCTTCATTAAATTTGATAGATTTTGAATTAGGATAAGTGTTAGGTTGAACAAGATGACAAAAAGATTACTGGTGGTTTAGTCTTAGTTACCATGATTACGATCAACATCATTCACACCACGTCCTTTCCTAGTAACGAAAATAATAATAAACCTAATAAATAAAACATTTATTCATTCCAAATGATCTCCCTCATCGCTCGGCATTCTAGAGCGGTTCTGAAATTATGGCTATCAGCAATAGCACTACAACTGTTTTATTTCCAGTATTTCAGAAACAATGGAGGAAATTCATTTTGCTTCGAAGACGCGCAGAAAACTTCGCATCAAGTCGAAAGTTTTCAAGAAAGCTGGTGTAGAATTCACCAAGCGCGAGTTCATTTGGACTCAATTCTTAAACCATGTTTCCACAATATTTCATGGAATGGGCCGTCACCTAATCGCGAACTTCAGACGGATGCCACCAAGAGTTTGATTTCGTTTTTTGACATCAGGCCTGCGGGTCAGTTCAGTCGTTTCAGCATTCAAACAAAGACTCGGAATGGCAAGTTGAAGCACATTGGCGGCGACTCGTGGCGCGTGTTGCTTCTCGGTCCGGCCACCGTGTCACCTACAATGTTTGATCACGGAAATGGAACATACGAGTTCTTGTTTCTTGTTATGGACCCAGGGGTCTATAAGTTGGATATCACTCTGGACTATAGCTTATGCGACGGATATCGAGAACCCCCGAAAAACTGGTTTATAGTTGGTACGAATAACTATTTATTTTTTAGAAATGAAAGATGGTAGATTTTGCGTTCGTTTAAGGCATAATGAAAGATATTATTCTTCTTGTGACAAGGATGGGGCGATGAAAAAGTTAGTTCCTCGATGAATCGCACCTAAGACCTTTACAGTACGCGATCCGAATGCTCCGCTGCTCTCTTTTGCCTAATGGTTGAGCATCAGATCGCAGAATCCAAAGGTCCAAGATTAAATTCGTCGTGCGGTGACCCAAATGTTTTCTTGAAACCACGCTCGCAACAAATCGAATCTCACTGTTGTGTTCAGTAACCGCAGTTGTTTTTCATCCTACCCGCTTCTTTCATTAAATGGAAGTTCCAAAGGAGAGAATTCCTCAGGGAATTCGCATGGTAAATTACAGAAAGAAGGCATGCTTGGAAAGAACCGAGCCAGAGATGATTACCTTCTTCAACGCTTTCAAGATGGAAAGCTTATTATGATCAACATTCCGTTACCTACAGCTGGAGGTAGGATAGGATCTATTACTTCTTAGTTATTTCAAGGAAAAGATGAAAATAAGCATTGGGTAATTCTCGCTTCCAAGGCGAAGGTGCTACGACAATCTAGAAATAAGCCATCAAGTAATATGCAGGTTAAAAGTCATGGAACACTCAACGGGATATATAGTACTAATGTCGAACTATCCCCCCACCTCTCCCCCAAACAATGCTGAATTATGTGCGCTTCGTTAAGGCCCTGTGGCAATTGCTCACTTTTACCAACATTGTTAGAGGGGGGAGGGGAGATTCTGTGTGCTCGCCTGAATTGGCAAAAAGTGGTTATTTTAAATATATCTGGGTATAGGTATGTCCTAAGGAGTTTTTACTCCCACAGCAGACATTTAGAGAGGATTTTTCTCGTTCTCAAGGAAAACACCCAATAAAATTACCAGGTACATGTAACATCATTCCAGATGCTAGTCACTCCTAGGTCTCGAAGGATTAATAAAACTGGTTTTATTTCTTCACACAAGTCTTTCAAATGTGCTTGTAATGTGAAGAGTTCCACAAAAGTCCCAGATGCAACATCCTAGATTATATAGCCTGGCTATTACTTTCCACTTATGGCCGCTACATCCAACCATAGTTAATATCCAATTTTGTGAGAAAATGCGGAAATACATCTTATGATGCGTGTAAACTTTTTTCATAGGAACCTATTTAATAAACAGACTAAACAGGCAATCAAAAATGAATTCACGGAGGGTAAGTTTCCTCCCAGACTTTGACTTGAACTGTGGAGTGAAGTGTAACTTCATGTGGGACGGGTTTGGGAGGTGGCTTGGAAAAAATTGGAGACCTTACCTCACAGGTACGTAACAAGTGTAAATTCTTCAAGAGTCCATGTCCGCACGTCAATTGTCGTCCTTTCTGAGTAGTGAAGTGACTTGGCAGTTGGTTGATGGAGACCTTGAACGGCGAAGGCAACGAGGAAGTGGCAAAACAGAAGATATATTGGACAGAACTTTAACTCAGTATGTGCGTTTTAAAGCTTTGAACATTTCTTGAGTGTCCCCTGCAAAACAATACAATGAAATCACCAAAATCAGCGCGCACGTCTAAGCACAAAAACCCAATCAGTGTTTCCGGGAACTCAACGCTACTCGCACGTTTTGCTGAATTTGAGTCATGGCGCTGTAAGTGGCAGTGAATGTAAAATTTTAACTTTGTCGAGGTCTTCCTCGGCTTTGCCGTCCTGATCTTTTAAGGTCCCTAATGACGAAAACAGGCTCGACTGGCTTAACTAATTCAGAAAATTACACAACTGCAAAATTATCGATTATTACGATATATAATTGAGAACAAATAAAATAAATTAATATAAATATATGGGCGCGCGCAGATATGGTATGTCTCTTCGAGTCTTCAATTCGATAGCTCACGGGTAAGCGCAGCGCATGCGTGACGCGTGGTTTTGGTTTGTTCTTGGCTCGTCCCTAATCTAAAACCTATTGTCCCGTATTGCCCCTAAAATGGAAAGCCATAGCTTAAAATTTCCATTGATCCAGAAACAGTGAGCTTGTCACGGCCAAATCCCTTTCATTTATATGATTTATTCTATCCATCCAAATGTGTATTTTTCTCTTATCCAGATATTTCTAACCACTCCCGATTCAAAAGTACGTCTCCTCGTAAACTAGGGACATTGTGGCTTTTCGGTGACTCAAATGCTGAGAGATTATACGTATCATTGAAGGATGGGCCGCTGTGCAATGAAGTTTTCAAAATTTGTAATTTAAGTAAAATGTGGGTGTACCCGTGGCCGAGCATACAGCCAGTAGCCTGGGACGACAAGGATTTTGAACCCCAGCAAATCTTAGATCACATCCGAGGAGTCCTGGAACGACCTGAGATGAATGAAAACAGCGCAATGATTCTGAATTTGGGTCTGCATTACATGGAAAGCACAAGCTTAGCCAACTATCGGATTCTACTGAAAGGAGTGATAGATCTTTTAAACGAAAGGAACAAGGGAAATGGTGAATTAAGGTACAAGACTCGCGTTATTTGGAAAACCACAACTTCTATGAATAAGGAGAAAGACATTGAAAGCCGACTAAAGAGTGACTGGCAGCGATTTCTGAACCCTACGGTAGGCAAATACTTAGTTTAATACTTTTTTTTTCATCCATTCCCAGGCTTTCTAGCGTGTCCAAGTACTGTGAGATTTTCGTACTGTCTTTGAAAATAATGGTGGGTTTAACAGACCTTTTTTTGCGAAGCAAAAACTAAAAAAAAATTTTTTGCAATCTTGACCTTGATTGCAAAATCAATGCTTTTGATGTACAAAGAGGGGAGGTTACTTAGCTCACCAAAATCTCTTTTTCTTTTCAGAGAGTGATACTATACAATACCTTTGCCACTTCCCTTATGTGCCAGGCTAACCTCGAGGTCCTCGATGTTTACCCATTTACCAGGTCCTACCCAGAAGGGACCGGAGGACCCGAGGTAGCACATTACAAGGAACACGATACCGTTCATTTTAAGTACATTGCCATGAAGCCAATTGATATCTTTTTGGAAGATTACTTTCGAGGCAAAGTATCGCGTTCGATAAATTTAACGAATTACGAATTTTCTTGATTAATTTTCTCCAATACGGCGGCAGTAAAGTGGAACGTAAAGTAAGTATACCCAAGTGGCATGCGGGCCTAGTTGCTTTCCCGTTAAACTGGCTTAAGCCTTGTAAGAGGCACCAGTACCAGTCTAATTTTTTACAATTTTTAGGAATTTTGAGCAGCATCTTAATAAAATATAGGCGCCGTGATGAATTCATTATAAAACCTTTGTGTTTTTTTCTTTTTGTGAATATTTGTGTTCTGAAGGGCGGGATGGCCATCTTTTTTCTCTATCTGTTAAATCGGGAGGGAATTTTCGCTTCACTCTCATGGCATACGAAGAACCATTACTTTCTCCAGTGATACCCAACGCTGCAAAGCTGGATACTGAAATTTTATTCAATGCGGAGGCTTCGATCCAAAGCCTCACACCCAGTTACCCGCTGACTGGCTCGTATTTTCATAACCAAGCGAGTCTGACTCGTTAAATCATATAAATAAGTTAAATCGATTTCTTTGTTATAGCCACTTCAAATATTCTCTCCCAAATCATTTGGTATCAAGCTTGTTTTCCGATCACAATTCAGATCAGTTAAGTCGTACTACCCAAACACAGGGGTCAACAATTGGGCATGCGCAGGGGATCAATTTCGGCCGGCTACGCGCCAATTTCCCGCGTAACGTTTTTAAGGAGACCTGACAAAACAATTGCTGTCCCGCAAAATGCGCAAAAGAAATTGAAATTTTATCAAAGCGAGCTCAAAAGGTATGTAAAAAAAGGAAAACTCGAGTCTTTTCAGGCAGAGAGCTTATTCAATTACGGGATCCTACGGATTTTACCATTTTGTTTTGAAATTGTCTCTACAGAAAATAATGCCGGAACTAAATGGCTTCAACGTTTTGCTTTTTCAGCGCGATAATGCGGTAAAGAATTCGAAGTGCATGGCATCACAAAGTATTGAAATCTTTTGATGGTTTGGAAATATTGTTTTTCGCGTTCTATTTTTCAATCAATTGTGCTCTTCAAAGAAAGCCAAGACGTTAGAGTGACATACAAGTGTTCTCAGCCAATTAGAATTTTCCATTTGCAATTTGTTTGGACAAAACTCCAACCCCCTCCCACCTTCTTTCCCCAATGGCCAAATGCTCAACGTTTCCGAGACATTGTCTAACAGAGAACATGGCATGAGGTACCTACATCACAGATGACACAGCACTGAAAATTCAAGCGTGAATTTCATGTAAGACAGAGTTTCAAAATAGAGTCCAAAATACTGCACGAGTAATTGAAGCGCAATGATTTCCCTTTAAAGGTCGTAACTGACTGGGATAATTAATCAATAGTAAGATGCGAATTGCCTAAACTTTATATATTGAAAATTTCAAGTTCGTGTCGCCTAGAAAATCGAAAAAAAAGTTAGGCGTAAGGCTACTTTAAAATGCAGGAGCTAAAGGTTAAAATATTCTCGCAGTTAAAGGCGTTTTTTGATGACCTCGCCCCTCTCCCCCCCCCCCCCCCCCCCCCCCCCGCCCTTCATTGCTTCTGTGCATGTTTCGGTGTGATATTTCGGTTAAATCGACACAGTCACAACTACTTAACTATATGAGATAAATTCCTACTGTGCTTCATGTGCTTCATCAAAGGGGTTCTGATCGAAATTCGGTGTCCGTGAAGCGTAGTTGTTTGTGAAGTTGCATACTTGCACATAACTGTTGCCTAGAGACGAAGGTTCGATAGAAGACCTCAAGAAGTCTTGATTCGCTTTGAAAGTGGAGATATCTTAAAAACGTGGGATCAAAGAGGCGGAACACACCAAAGCGTAGCGGTTACAGGCTCAAGCAAAGAACCACAGCAGAAGTTTGCAGGCGACCCTGTTATAATCAACGAAATTACAATTTCTTTGAACACCTTGAATCTCACACGGACAACGGTGAGTGCCTGATTCATGTTTTAGACCGTCCATAAAATAATTATTTAAACATATCTAAAACAAAATTTGCCTGCCTCAAATACAATCGCCTCGCGTGCAAACAATACGTTCTCAACAAATTTTTTCCTCTATTTTCTTTTACTTTCGTTGCCAAGTTTTCGATAGCCAGAGCAACGAGAAGGTGAAAAGAAAGACGACTGCATTCCAAATGTATTTACTTTACACAGATATGTCGAGAGAATACAAAACATGTCATATCTTCGATTATTATCACTATTTCGGGCATTTTGGTGCATTTGCAGGATGAAATGGAGATGTTGACACATTAAAATGTTCGTAAATTGCTCGGCTCGCAGTCGGGGCCAAATTTTATTAGTGCACAATACACTGGCCATGTTTTAGCACACACAAAGAACGAAGAAATCCCGAATTTTCCATTTTCATCCTTTCTTTCGCTCCTGAACTAAATTATTACGATAAATAACTTTGGATTCAAGAATTTCTTTCGTTCTAATTGTGACAGTTTGACTGACATTCCTTAGCTTTAACTTCATAAGTTGGGTAAAACAACAGAAATAAAAAACAGAAGAAATAAAATCATACATGATGAGTATTCGCTCAGTTAAAATTTCACGAAGAAAGACAATGTCGATAATGAAAATGAAGTAACTTTAGGATGCTACTAGTTTCGTTTGAATCAAATAAGCTATTAATGAAGAATTGCAAACTTACATCGTGAGGAATATTCAGTTGACGATCCTTATTCTCAGAAAACTGTTCCTGTGGAGCTGTTCAGACTGTCATTTTAAAGAACGCTCCTGTTTGTTCGAAGGTTTTTTTTTTTAATTACGACGACAATAGTTTGGTGATTAAAGCAGAGTTTGATCGAAATTGCTCGCAATTTCCAACAAACGAGCTTCGTTGTCAAATCTTAAATCAACAACAACAACCAATTGGATGATAAGATTAGCGATTTTACTCTTCTCAATTACAAGAATATGTTAAAAAAAGGAATATTCCTAAAACCTGACAGCGTTTCACGAAGGTATCTGGAAATCATTGCTGCTCAAGCTAAGAGCATGATGTTCTCAAAAAGGTATATCTAAACCTAAGATCAATTTTTTTTTATCAGTGTCATGATCAAAATTTCATAACGAAACATTTTCCAGATCGCCAGTGTATTATTTTACGTCTCTCTGAAAGTGAAATAAATTAAAATAAATTTATTCGTATGTGTTGCTAATTAATCAGCTTTGGAAACCTGAAAGCATTGTTATATGCTTGCAATTTCTGATCTTGAAATTCGAAGAAACGAAATGATAAAGTTGCGATCTTCGAAACTGCGGTCATTCGAATTTATTTTTGGGATGATGTTACCCTGACCTCTGAAATATCAAGTTTTTTTTATAAAAATGAAGAAAATAAAATGCATCTAAAAAAAAGGTGCGAAAAATACTCGTCATCACTGGACCATCATTACCAATTCGTATAACGAGAATTTGGCGAGTGTAAACGCGTGGATTTATTATAAAATTATTGAAAATGAGTCGTAAAAAGTCATGCTGGCATGTAGACAGAGAACGACACCTTAACGAAGTATAGATGAAGGCTAGATAACCGCAAACAAACAGCAGAGAATAAATGCTTACCGCAAGCAAATAATGGTGAGTAATTACGAACAACAAGCAAATCAAACAAATCTAAGGTATGTATATGCTATATTTGCTCACTTCAAAGGAACTATATATGTGAACAGTATTCTAACACGACGCATCGACCCATGCTCTCTACAAACTATTCGTGATTATGTCCTCAAATCTCTTTTGGCTCTGCTAATAATATTCTATGAATTATGAGACCTTAAAGGGGAAGTCGTCATTCCTTATGTAATTCGAACGTCGTAATTGGAATTAGAATATTGACTTGGTATTCAGTTTTTTCTAAATTGAATGAAAAAAGTGTTGGAGACTTAGACCCATTTTAAACTCCAAATACTTTTAAAATACTGCAAAAAGGTTTGAACTCCGGCTCATATTTTTTTAAGCTGCAAGCTAGATACCAGAATGTTTATAAGAAGGCTGTAGAAACTATGACATAAGCATCAGTAGAAACTAGTTTGTAGTTTGGTAAACTACGACTGAGGATATGGATGATTGCACCTTTGAGAAGACATCTACGTGGCTTTGCCGATGTATCCAAGTAATAAAATCGTCGGCCTACACTGACGTAAAAAAATATTGCCTATGTGAAATTTTTGTAATAAATTTTACACGGCCTCAAAATTACATATTTCTCATAGTTACCTTAGCACAGTCTTTCGCTATCGTAAGGATAATTTTAAAATTGGAAAACAATGTTATCTATGAAGGATGGGAACTTTATTGTCAAAGTGATGAATTAATTACCATATCGAACATTTGATTAAAATTCGAATACTTATACCGTATGTTAAATAACATGTTCCCATTATTGTATGAGGTTGAGGTGTGGCGGCGTGGGAGAAGGTAAACGAAATATTTGATGTTGATTTTTATATAGCCACTCAGGTTTTTCAGAGTTTTCAAAGCTTATTAGTGTTATTATTATTATCATATTTTTAACGTTTAAGTAACGATAGTCGTTTAATTAAAAAAACAAACAAACAAACATTTCTGAAGCTGAGAATTTTATAATCAAAAAGATGAATTGATTACTAGATGGAAGATTTCATAAAAAAATGAAAATAAACACATGCACCGTATGTTACAGCTGATTATTGTCGGACCTCAAGATAACCTTTCGAATGCAAAAAGTTCGTGAAAACTTATTCAGTTGCGTCGATTAAAAGTAACCTCAATAACGCAAGAGACCTTTTCTCATAGAACGAAAACCACTACGATTTCATAAAAAGCGAGAAGATAGTTGAAAACTTAAATTTCAACGAAGGGAGATGTAATTTTCATCTAAAGCCGTTGCAAAGAAATATGGTCCCGTTTCTTCGATATATATCCATTTTCATCAAAATCTACGCGGCTAGTTGAACAGATATCGCAAGAAAACTGCAAGCCCTTTATAAATAAGAATAATCTGCTTTGTGGGAAGAGCTTGCTTACAC